GACACACAGACAAAGTCAAACTCTTTGACTGTTATAAACGGTGCAACAATGAATATACACTATAGAAGACTATGGCTGTTCATCAATATTAATTGACCTTCTTATGGAGGAGTATTCTTCTCTACAATTTTGAGTTTAGACTTGGTTATATATGTTACTGTGATTGATGAATTGTGAGCAGAAGTGACACATGCCACTTCCAGTTGGAGACCTATGTAGCATGTGCTTGCCTTTATCTCTATGACTGGCAATGTACCAGATAATTCCAGCTCTGTCAGCCTGGGTTCTAGAGTCAGAGTGATTACTATCATCAGAGCCATCTTGCCACAGAGTATACAAGCAGCACAAATGAAAAATAAAACTTTGATGTTATAATCCAAAATTTGGGAAATGTTTGTTATTGCAACAAACCTATTCTATTCTGACTGAAATAGAGACTGATGTCATGATTAGATGAGATGATAAAATTGTTTCTCTTGAGGGAATGTTGAGGGTATTTTGTAGAATGGAGAATGATCCCAATATTTACTACCACAGAGCTGAACTGTTATGGTCATTAGGACTGTTCAAAATATCAGTTTTATTAGTCTAAATATAGGGTAGAATTATATTGTTACCCAATTTGGTTATGTCTGTTCATGGACTTTGTGTAAAATTTTATCTGGCCTATATACTCAGGAGCTGAATTGCTAAATTATAACCTACATAGCTTTTCATAGTGGCTATACCCTACAGCAAAGTGAGAATCCTTCTCATTTGTGATGTTCTCAGTAACACTTTACATATCCATCTTTCTAACTTGTATCAGTCTTTTGGGTAAAAAGTGGTATGTCATTACTGCTTTCAAGAGTCTTCTAAGTGCTAGTAAGATTGAGTGCCTATTCAGTTAATCCTTTATTACCATGTTCTATGAACTCTATAGATTCAATTTTTGACCATTTAAGCATTGTGTCTCTTGTGGTTTTCATGCTGATTTTCTGGAGTTCTTTGTATTTTTTGGATGTTAATCTCTCGTCAGATTTTGATATTGCAAATACCTTCTCTCAGTCTGTCACCCATCTGTTAACTTTGACAATGATGTTCATTAAGCAGAAATCTTTAATTTTTATGTAATTTCATCAGTTTTTCTGCTGATTGCCTGTAATTTATAGTCTTTTTAAAGAAATCCTTCCCTAATCCTACAGTAACAAAAATAATCTCCTACTTCGACTTCTATAATTTTATAATTTTGCCTTTGTCATTTAGGTCTTTAATTGATTTGGAGTTTAATTTTTATGTAATGTTTGAAGTGGGAAATATGACTTAGTTTTTCTAGACACCATTTTCTAAATAATTCATATTTTCTCCACTGATCTTTGATGCCACCTCTATCGTATAGTAGATTCTTTTAGTAAGGGATCTGTGTATAGGTTTTCAATCACATGCCATTGTTTTAATTTGTTAATTCTCTACCAGGACCACACTGTGATTACTATGACTTACCAATTATTCATCCATGCATGGATGTTTATTCTTCATTAAAAATTTTAGAATAAATCTATTGCATTTCTCAGTGTTATTCAGATTGGAACTACATTTAATTTATATATCACTTGGGGGACTTGACATGTTTACAGTGCTATTATCTCCACAAATGAAACTTATTTCTCTATATATTCAAGTTTTTTTTTTTTGGGGGGGAGCAAGAGAAGTCATTTAAAAAAAATTAAATATTTTCTCCACAGAAGACTTGAGTGCTTTTATTAGTTTAATTCCTATACATATTTGGTTTTTTTATTGCCATATTACTTGGTGCTTATTACTGACAAAGATGGATGTTACTGATTTGGAGGAATTGATTTTGTCTCTGGCTACTTTGGTCAAATCTTATTAGTTCTAATGGTTTGCCTTTTGATTTTATTGGCTTTTCTGTACATATATTATTTGTTAAGTCTTTAAAAAATGGTATCATCTTTGTATCCTCCTTTCTAATTCCTGTCCCACCCCACCTCTGCCATTTTACTATGTTAGTAAAGACCTCTAGTACCATGTTAAACTACTGAAATGATAGTACATACTCTTCTTCTCCCAGCCTCAAATGACATAAATTAAAATTTTACAATATGAATGATGTTTGGTCTAGTTTGGCAAACTATTATTATTATCATTATTTTCTTATCGAGTTAGCAGTTTTTTTCCTATTTCTTGTTTTCTAAGAGGTTTTTTTAAATTAAAATAGAATGCATTACTTTTATCAAATGTTTTCTGTATCTATTAAAGTGACCATAAGAATTATCTTCTTAAGTGCATAGTAAATTACATTCCTTGTTGATATTTAACCATATAGTAAATTAAATTCTTGGTTGACATTTAGCCATCCAAGAATTTCTGAAATGAATGCGGCTTGCCTTATTTTTTTTATTTTGTACTATGCTGTTGAATTTAGTTAGCTAATCCAGATTTTCATATTCATATTTATAAATAAGGTTGACCCAAATTTTCTATTTATTATAACTTACTCTGGTTTAAATATAGAGGTTATACTATAGCCTTTCAAAATGAGTTGGATAACTTTTATTGCTTTTATGTTTTCTGCAATAACTTAAGTTTGGTAGTTTATCTGTTTCTTTAAAGTTTGCTTAACTCACCCACACAACTCTCTTGGTCTAAAATGTTTTGGGGGGGACTGTGGAAGAGGAAGTTTTAAAAATTATTGTTATCATAATTTCTTTAATGAGTTTGGTATATTCAAGAGTTCTGTTTCATCATATGCCTATTTTGACATTTTGTATCTTTTCCAGGACATTTAGTAATTTCATTTATATTTTTAAATGTAATTCAGTATGGTTCTTCAGTTGTTCATAGTGTTTTACATAATTTAAAAAATCTCTGTCATTTTTTATAGTTAGTTCTTTTTAAAAAATTGTTTATTTTCATCTTTGCTCCCACAAATTTGTCAGTTTTTTTTTCTATTTTATTATTCTTTTAAAGAACCCATTCTTGGTTTAGTTAACAATATCTTTTTCCTCCTCTTATTTTAATTTCATTGATTTCTAACATTTTTATTACTACCTTCCTTTTTATCTCTTTGGGTTTACTCTTTTGCAATTTTTTTTTCCTAGCTCTTGTGTTGAATGCTTGGATCATTTGTCTTTAATAAAAACTGGTTTACTGAACAGTCTGATTTCTGCAGGATATAAACATGAATAAGTTTTATTGTTATTTTCTCTATTGCTTCCTTCAAACATTCTCCACTGCGTCCCCTTTCCTATCCTTTAATAACATCGATGGCAGTTCCCATTGTTTCTTGGTCACTTTCACATATAAAAAAGTCCAGTCTTGTTTAGAGTAGTTTAAAAATTCAGTTTCACTTTCATCTAGTGTTCACCTTCTTTTTTTTTTTTTTAAGATTTTATTTATTTGTCAGAAAGAGAGAGAGAAAGCACACATGCAGGCAGAGAGGCAGGCAGAGGTGGAGAGAGAGGCGGAGCGAGAGGCAGGCTCCCCGCTGAGCAAGGAGCCCGCTGCGGGACTCGGACCTCGGACCTCGGGATCATGACCTGAGCCAAAGGCAGGGGCTTAATGAGCCACCCAGGCTTCCCAAGTGTTCACCTTCTTGGTAGCCTTTCAGGCCACAGCCTCGGTGCAGAGGAGTGTCAGTTGCTTTTTCACTTCTCCCTCCTTACTATTTTAATTCTAGTTTCTCTGGTATTGGCATAGGGAAGAAGAGATTAGAGAAAAAGTTAGAAACCAAAACAAAAGCTTTTCAGTTATTTTTTAAAGGCTTTTACTCATTCAGTTGGGCACCTGGGTGGCTCAGTTGGTTAAGAGTCTGCCTTTTGCTCAAGTCATGATCCCAGGGTCATGATCAAGCCCCATATAGGGCTCCCTGCTCAGTGAGGAGTCTGCTTCTCCCTTTCTCCCTTCCCCCCGCTTCTGAGCTCTCTCTCATACACATTCTCTCTCTAAATGAATGAATAAAAATTAAAAAAAAAAGATTTTATTTATTCACTGAGAGAGAGCAAGCAAGTGGGGGGAGGGGCAGAAGGAGACAGAGAGAATCTCCAATGGACTTCGCACTCAGCACAGAGCCCCAGATGGAGTTCCATCCCACAACCTCCAGGATGGTGACTTGAACTAAAATCAGGAATTGGTTGTTCAACCAACTTAGCCACCTAGGTACCTCAGAAGCTTTTAGTTATATGATGTTGTTTTAACATTCTACTGGCGGTGGTTTCTTATAGGAAGTAAGGGCCTTAAATGTTGGCTCTCTCATAAGATACCTGTATATAATCTTTCAGAAGCTCTGCAAGGTTTTTCCCGATGCACTGGGTCCTAGTTGGGGATACTTGGTCTGCTATGGCATGTTTTGACCCTTCCCATCTTACCTCTCAGAAATATACCTTATAACATCTTTCTGGACAATACTTTACTTTGGCTAGTAGCCCTTTTGAGCAAAATAGTTTATACTCAGCTACTTTCCATAGTGTCCAAACTTTCCGTAGTGTCCAGTAGCTTATGCGACCCTTATACATGTTGATTTGAAAGTGTTCCTCATTGTGGCTCCCTTTCAGTATCATGGACTGCCTGCCCCCCCCCCCTTTTTAAAGATGTTATTTATTTATTTTAGGAGAGGGAGAGTGAGAGAGAGCATGAGTAGGGCAGAAGGAGAGGGAGAAGCAGACTCCCCACTGAGCAGGGAGCCCTACATTGGTCTTGATCTTAGGACCCTGGGATCATAACCCAAGCCAAAGACAGATACTTAATCAACTGAGCCACCCAGGCATCCCATGAACTGTTTTTGTTGTTGTTGTTTGTTTGTTTCCTTTCTGTCGTATTTCTTCTTTCTTGATTAAAATATTTAAAGTTATCTATTTTCCTCTAGGTGCTGCTTTAGGTACGTTCCACAAATATTGACATGTTATACTTTTATTGCCATTCTGTCCAAATTGTTTTAAATTCCCTTCATGATTTCTCCTTTCTTTCTTTCTTTCTTTCTTTTTTTTTTTTTAATTTCCCAGAAAGAGAGAGAGCATGACGCAAGTGGGGGCAGATGGAAGTGTGGAGGAAGAAGGAGAGAGAGAGAGATTCCCAAGCAGACTCCATGCCCAGCATGAAGCCCCACACTGGGCTTGATCCTGTGATCCTGAGACCATGACCTGACTCAAAACCCTGAGTAAGACACTTTATGAATTGAGCTACCTAGGCACCCCACTCATGATTTCTTCTTTATCAAAGAGTAGGTTAGTAGTATTTAGCTGTGTGGCAGAAACTGGCTAGATGTTCACTAAACAAACTTCCACTTCTTTCTGTTCACACTACTAACTTACCTTCTTAGCTCACCTGTACTTTGGTGAAGATATGCAACCACTGGTCATGAATGGTAAGTGAGATGTGATGTGTCACCCCTAGAATAAGGCTGTCAAGAGTACAGTTTCTCTATGCTCTCTCCTCTCTCTTCCAGTAAGATTCAGAGGATCAAGTAGAGGGTTCCAAGGCCCCAAGAGATGATACTGCCAGCAGAGGGAAGGAACAGCTTGAATCCAAATGACTGAGAAGAGCAGAGTCTCCTTCCCCACCTCCCTTCTTCTGCCCTATCCCTACCAAGTCACACCTGATTGTGGTATATCACACACACACACACACACACACACACACACACACCCCTTCATTTTGTTAAGCCACTGAGATTACAGGATTATTTAACACAACAGCTATCATTTACCCTGCCTAATACAAGAAACTTATGGACTGTTAGAAAAAATAAGAAAAAAAATAAGACAAACATAGAAAACTGCAGTAGAAATTAGAAACTGAAGTGTACCATGTGAGAGATGAAGAAGAGTTTCAGCTCCTTTGGGAGAATCAAAGAAGATCATATTGGAGGAGATGATAGCTGAGCCAGGTTTTAAAAATTTAGATAAGGTATACATAATGGGAAATGGGAGAAGCAGAAGAGTAATTATTTCAGAGATGGAAGTAAAAGAATAAAGGAGAATATTGTGAGGTTTAAATAAGTCATGTATCCCATGTAAGTCTGAGTGGCGAGAAAAGGGGAGGAAGGTGGAAAGAGTTGTAAAGGTAGAATTCTGAATTCTAGTCAAAACAGCTAGGATTTTATTCTGTAGGGGTTTCTTTGTCTGTTCTTGGAATAGAAAAGAAAGAGAAAATAGTTTGAAAGGATGTTAAGATGATTGATTTGGATATTGAGCTCAATAATGTACCATTGTTACAATAAAACCCTAACCATAGCAATGCGTAATGATAGAGTAGAAGTAACAGGGAAAAGGTTGTACAGATGAGGTTGGAGAAGTGGTAGAAGCCAGACCATGGTCCTACATTCAGGAAAGCAGATTTTCTTCTAAGTTCTATGGGACAGCATCAGGAGTTTTCCTGCAGAAGGATGTTATGATTTAATTTGTACGTTTAAATGAGCATGACTGCTGTGTGGGGAATGGACAGTAATGGGTAAGAGTGGAAGCAGGGCACCAATTAGGAGGTGATGGCTGAAGTGCAGCAGGTCTTTCACAAAACATTCGAAATCCTAGTTTTAGTATATTCACTTAGGGAGAGTAATACATTAGCAGGTCAAAGCACGCAGTTAAAAAGGAAATATATTTTCATAATTCCTCAGAGTAGAAGTAAAGAAACAGAAAACTGAACAAATAAATGAATATATAAATAATCACAACAGTAATAACAGAAAAATTAAGCTTAATAGTCTTTTCTGGTCACAGAATATCTCAGAAAAGCTGACTTGGATCACCCTGTTTAACCCAACTACCACTTGCCCCATATTATTTTTCTTTATAGCATATATCTCCACCTAAGATACAATAATCTACTTTTTGGATTCATTTATTGTTAGTCCCTCAAACCCTTTCAACATAAGAAAGCAGGGGACTCATTTATTTTTTTTCCGCCATTTTTTCTCCTGTATCTAAAGTTGTGCTTGGGAGAGAGAAGATAGCATTTGTTAAATGAATGAATGAATGGATGGATGAATAACAACTGACCATTCACACTAATGCATTTTCCTGGACAAAATATGCTGTTATGATGAAAATCTTGAAGGCTTAGGAAAGCAAGGAGCCACATGTGAGAGTCATTCTTAAATAAAGGAACCCAGCATAGAATAATAGTGGGGAAAGCATGAGCTTTCGAATCACAAAGGAGTATACTCAGAGCCTGGTTTATTCTGTTTCTAGTTTTCAAATCCTGGGTGTGTGAATCATCTCTCTGAATTTTATTCCTCCTCTATAAAATGGTATACTTACTCTTACCATAATCTAATGTATGTAAAGCACAGTACCTGGCTAATACCTCCAATCCCAATTTTTAAAAATCTTTAATTCAGTAAATGTTCAATAAGGTTTTCTAGAATTCTTTTCTAGAATTCACATTTCATATCCTGAAAATTTGGCTGAGATTAACTTCTATATCTGCCTTTGTTTCCTCCATGCCCCACCCAATTAAAATAAATAATTGCATTCTTTTCCCCTTTGCTTTTCTTGAATCTTGCTTCCTACCTACTATACCACACTGAGCCAGTGAAAACTTGTTTAACTGCACAGCGTTGCCTAGCAATGTCATGCTTCTCTCATGGTCTCACTCTGGGATATGGTAACTGGACTCCTGCTACTAATTCTTCCATCTTCATATCACCGTATATCCAGTCTTTTAATAATTATTAAAGGGACATTCTGCTTTTATTAGCTAAAGGTCTTATAGAAGAGTCGCCATTGTTATTCATTCTGATAGAATTAAGCCGAACTGTTTCTCTTTTCTCCAAATCACTCAGGTTCTGTGTTTAAAAGGTCAATTACATTTATTTCAAATTGGTAAGACAAACATTTCCTGTGCATCCTGAAAATAAAATGGCCCAATAAACAGTTTCTTGAGAACATTTTATTTTTTAATTTTAAATATGTATACGGCACTGATAAGTTTCCTGCCCAACCTTAGGATTGTGTTGAAAGTGGTATTGAGCATATGCTGGTGTCTGAAATGGAATCCATACCCCAGGAAGCTGACACCAGGAATGGTGGAGGTGAAGTGACCTGGCTCTGTTATTGTATCCCTCAGGACTAAATGATCATCTCGGCCACGCTATGAGTTTGCAAGTATTAAACAGAAAAAGTAACACCCACTCACAGTGCTACATCATGAACAGTGGAGGTGAGCCAGATGTAATAAGTATAATTGGAAAGAGAAGTCATTTCAAATCACTAATCTGTAGATGACAAGACAATCTTAAAGCACCAAGCAATGGTCCGCATGTTTTTAGAATCCTCAGGGCAAGAATATTCAAATGTTATAAAAGAATTTAGAGTTTCCTACTGTGTAGAAATAAGATGTGCTCTTACCAGCAGCTTTAGCAATGGCCTCAGAGGTCTGTTACATACAGTGTGAGGAATCAGATCTAGTCCTGCCCAATGACAAATATTTAACTACTACATTATATTGCATGGGTTATAAACTCAAATGTCTACTGGGCTAGTTAGGTAGTTAGGTAAAATGGGAGAGACTGTGCCTGTTTTGAAGGCCAGCCACTACTTAGTGCTAGAAGTATACAGCCTGCAGGAATGCGTGTGCAGTGATGTCAGATCACCTGATTGCTTTAGGAGAGTCTGATTATCTGAATTTTACAGTGAAATGCCTTGATTGTTTACATGTTGACAGTTTAGTAAAACAATGCGGTCAAACATGTCTTTGATACAGATGCAGCAAAGGGTCCAGCAGTCTATGACTTCTGTGCACAGTCTCTGCTATTTGTGGACATAGGGCTGGATCCAGTATCCATTATTCATAGGGTCCCACAGGTTCTTTAGGGAAAGCACAAGGATGTTCTGGGTGAGAAACTACAGGTCAAAGTTCATCTAACAAAACTAACTCTCAAATGGAGAAAATACAAATATTCCCTTTTTGTAGCTACTCCTATCTCACAGGAAGACATGAAGCAGTTCCCAGAGAAGAGAATTAGAAAGAGGAAGGAGGAAGAAGTGGCCAGGGATAGGGGAGGGAGTAAAAATGTGTTGGCCTAGCCTCTGGTTGGGTTCCAGTCTCTTGTTCTGCCAGGAAGGATGACCCACTGCCTATCACAAAGCAAAGTTAAATTCTGCCATGGCCGGGACGCCTGGGTGGCTCAGTTGGTTGAGTGGCTGCCTTCGGCTCAGGTCATGATCCCAGCGTCCTGGGATCGAGTCCCACATCGGGCTCCTTGCTTGGCAGGGAGCCTGCTTCTCCCTCTGCCTCTACCTGCCACTCTGTCTGCCTGTGCTTGCTCTTGCTTCTCTCTCTATGTCAAATAAATAAATAAATAAAATCTTTAAAAAAAAAAATTCTGCCATGGCCTTCATCAGCCTGGAAATCTACAACTCCTTTAAATTTAGCCTATGGCCTTGGGCTTCAAGTTTTGGAAACTCGTTACCACTCTAAAGGGAAAACATAACCCAATGTCAGGGATATTCATTTCTCTTTTCTCTGTCCCCCACTGAAATCTGGTCCCTGTTTGGCTATTGCATTCCCCAATTTCCTCTGAGAGAAGGAGATAGGGAGGCTTTTGCTATAAGCAGGGAGGTCCTGGGAGGTGTTGCGTTTGGTAGAAGAGATACATCCCTGAACTGGAATCCATTGTTGGAATACTTTCTGTTCCATAAATGGAGTCAAAATCTGAGCCTAGATAAGTCAATTTTTTTTCTGGTGAAGGCAGTGAAAAAATGTATCCTTGGAGCAGCCTCCCTGAGTATCCCATTCTTTTATCCTTGAGGTACTCTGTCAGGCCCAGGAATCCATCTTAGGTTCCATTCTTACTCTCAAATGATGTTTGATGAATGTTTACGAAGTAAAAAGATATAATCCTTCCCAAGGTATTTATAATTTCAAAGGTTTGAAGATGAGAGTAACTGGCTTCAGAAACCACAGAATGAAGCTACAATTCCTGGGACTGGGATTTATTTAGTAAAGACAGGAGCAGGCATCCCTGGAGATGATCCAGGTAGTATGGAAAAGCCACAGTAGTAAAAAGTTGAAGTCTGGGACAACCATTCCA